AGTATGTTGTCTTTGACCACTTTTAAAATTATGTTTTGACTTCTGTTCTTGGTTGGATTTTTGTTCTAACCTCAACTATATTTTTCTACTTTCCAGAAAGTTGAAGGGAGTATATTGAAGAGACAATTGGAATTTTGAAGAATACATTGTTACTCTTCAGCATTTACTTGTGTAGAATTCTTTTTCTTTTTTGAGACAAAACGTGTGTAGAATTGTTTGTTTGGGACAAAAGGTATGTATAATTCTTTTTGTTTCTTGGACTAAATCTGTGTATAATTCTTTGTTTGGGACAAAAAAAGGTGTGTAGAATTTTTGTTTCTTGGACAAAACCTTTCCTATGCTTTGGGGAGAACCCATCTTGAGATGATTTCTCCTTTGAAGAAACAGAGATAATGTTCTCGGGTTTTTCCATCTCTGAACAGTGTACAGTGTTCTCTAAATCTCTTTAATTTTTCAATCATCTTCTTTTGAGAGAGTTTCCATGAGCATAGGGGAGAATCTTGTACTTGAATTTTTTACGGCTCTACTTTGATTGATACCCTCTTAAGTCAACTCTTCGTTTTTTTTTTGTTAAATTGTAAATATTCATTAATGAAAATGAAAAGTTCAAGAATTACAAGTTGTTACTAGAACAAATTGAAACACCTAGAAGATTGATCCCATGGCAAAAAAGGTTAAAAAACATGGAAACAACATACAATCGGTACACCTTCAGAACTTTATGTAAAACATTCAATCCTGAGAAAGTAGCGATACATATCCTGCAATCTCCGGGAAATAGCCAAAAGACGGTTGATTATGAGAAGCATCATGAAAAGCGAGAGTGATGCCTACCACACTAAAAGAAGCACGTTCATCCGGTAGCATGAACTAAAATCTAACGCAAGCCAAAGAGCCAACAAGCAGCGAGCGAAGGATGTCCTCTAAACCCATTAAACGAAGCGCGTCACCAACCCTTTGAAACTTAAGCTAAAACTGAACTCCAACACTACACTAACCAAAGAGAATCAAACGCTTAGAAGCACCACCACTATCCCCTCTATAATGTGTGATATCGCTTAACTTAACGAAAGAAGACTTCAGCCTTGTGAAACTTAAGGAAATTTTGAAACTTTTTATTTCATTGTTCTGTTTTGCTTGATTTATTCATTGTGATTACAATCAGATTATATAGAGATAATAGAATAATGTAGAAACTAAAGGGATAAGCACAACTGTTTGGTCAATCGGTCAATCGGTCAAGAGAGCATCAAAGCGGTTTCGCAGCTAGAGCATCTCTTTCTTCGCTTCAACGTCTCTTGCTTTTGCAGGTACAAAGTTTGTCCTGTTCTGAGGCAGGGAAGTGGGCTTCTCAACTGGGCTTATTATAGATGATTGCACGAGGCCCATCTTGGTTGGCCCATCTTGACTTACA